AATCTTAACTCGCGCCAAATACAGATTGATACTCGCAGGTTTTTCTTCAGATCTTCTGAAAATAAGTATAAATCATTACAGCCAAGCACATTTCAGCGTAATTTTAGGTCCCCATTTGGAGATCTCAGGCTTCGATTTTAGTGTAATTTTGTAGACCGAACAAGAAGCAAAAACCGGTGTGCCGTCAAGTTGCTGTCGTTCAAGGGGCATTTCACTCAAAAAAAGCGTACGGGATTTTCGGATTTTTAAAAATCCGCGGATTTTTTAGCGGATTTAGCGGATTTTTCCCGGATTTTTTAGCGGATTTTTGAAGAGAAAATTTGCTGGATTTTCCGGATTTGTTCTGATTTTTTCTGGATTTTTTTTTAATTATAGAGTTATAGAGCTAGGTAACGCTTTGAACAAATAATCGTAAGTTGTACGATGTCAACGTTATGCCACAGTATAGGAAAAGTTGTCTCCCTATACTGTGGTTATGCCAGGACGTCAGGGGCGAGCAGAGGACTGGGACTAGGACCACAGCCTTCTGAAACAATCTCGTTCCTTCCTCTTGGGTTAATTCCTCTTGTGAGTGATTGATGGATTTTGGCAATGGCACCAAATCATGGTGTGACGTTTTCTCGCATGACTGATCTATAGCCATAAAAGTTTCTGTGTTATCCGGTACTTTTATTGGTGTGAAGCATGCATCGTTAGCGGTCCGAACAACAACGGGATTAATGTGAGGATTTGAATTACTAACCTCTTTTGTTTTGTTCGTGCCGCCGCTGCTAATGGGTGTAGAGGTTGTCAACATATTTTCGAGATTTGCATGATTTTTCGGCTCTTTTGGTCGGCAATCGTCATGCGTAATATTTGGTTTTCCACGGCTTGGATTTTATGGTTGAGTTTCGATTCCAAAACAACCAAGTCTAATTTCAAACCCTCCAAGTCTGGTGATAGCTTCGAACATTCACAACCCGTACACTGGTGTTTTGTTGGTTGGTTTTCGTTTAAGGAGTTCTCGGTGTT